GCACCGGGACCGGAGGCGTCAGCTTCCCCGCGGACACGGGAGCAGGAAGAGGAGTCGGCCCGGGATGTGTCGGCTTCACTGCCGACCTAGGCACCGGAACCGGAGGTCTCGGCTTCCCCGCCGACCTCAGCGCTGGAACCGGAGGCGKCAGCTTCYCCGCTGACCCTGGAGCCGGACCCATCGGCTTCACCGCCGATCGGGGACCAGCGCTCCCCGCCCTCTCCAGCTCGGTGCCGCAGGTGAGACGCCCAAGCCTCATCCTCTCCGTCTGCCTCAGGATCACCTCCGTCTGCCTCTCTGTCCGCCGCAGGCTCTCCTGCGTCTGCCTCAGGATCTCCACCGTCTTTGCCCACTCCATGTCTCTGGTTGTGTGAGGTCCCTGTTCGGGCGCCAGTGTGGCATTCGACCATGCCACGGGGTTCCCCTCACGACAGCCAGAGACGAACCAGTCCAACCATTTCTTGTTTAGCAACATCTCTTTACTAATGTAAAACTGAAACTTACACAAAACATCGAACTTAACGGGTCCAGCACTTTCTGCTGGACCTTTAGCTTCAGTCTCTCTCCCAGTGTGTCCTTCTCTTTCCCCAGTGTGTGTCCTGAGGGTCTCTCGAGTGTCCTTTGAGTGTTCTTTCGAGGTAGCTCTGCTGCCTCCTTTTCGAGTCTGAGGATCAATCAGCTAACAGCTCTCACCTGTGCTGATTGATCCTCAGTGGTGCAGGTGAAGGTGCTCTCTCCGCCCCTTCACCTCCACATTGACATTGACAAGAAAGTGGGGCAGCAACAGGAACTGGAGTAGAGCAAGGCGGTACCCACGATTGTGGGGCAGGGACAGGAACTGGATCAGAGCCAGGCAGGACCCACGACCATGGGACAGGGACAGGAACTGGAGTGGCATCTGCCAGGATCCCCGATACAGGAACATGAGTGCCGTCTGCCGGGACCTCCGACGGAACATGATTGGCGTCTGCCGGGACCCCCAATGCCGGAACAGGAGTGGCATCTGCCAGAAACCATGACGTCCAGACTGGAGGTGGCTGCTTGTGAGCAGGAGGAGATGGGTGGATGCTGTATGGGAAACCCCCCCTCTGACGTCTGCCATGCACACCAAAGTCTCGACACCCGTCTGGCTTTTGGGGCCCCAAAAGCCAGACGGGTGCTGAGGTATGGGTTAGCAGAGGGGGCTGGGTAGGTGAGAAACTATTGAAGTTTGTCCTGCACCCCCAGAAGGTGCGGGACAAAGTGGCTGACCCAGGGTTTGTCCTTCAGCCATGCCTGTACTGGTGAGATCCTCCCCAGGAGCACTGCTTACTGCTGAGTATCTGAGGTGCTCAGCTTGGATTCCAAATAAAAAACTTTCCTACAAAAAAGGTTTAGCTCTGCTGGGTCCAAAATTTGTCAGTTCGTTCTGTTATGTTTTGGAGGGAGCAGGTTAGGGAGCAGGTGGACCCAAAAAGGCAGAGCAATCTGTTTTAACATAAAGTCTCCTTTAA